AACAACATATTCCTAATTGGAAATGTCCATTTGTATACTCTTTAAAAATTTAACTACAGGAGAAAGATGAAGCCATCTATTCCTTAAAATCCATAGTATCAGAAATCCTAAAGAAAAGTTATACTACAACCTATAGGCTGACTAGGAGTCAGAATCCACTTGATGACAGTGGTTTTGGTTTAGGTTTGGGTTATGATTGAAAGTCTTTTTGTATGCATTTACTACTTTGATGATTGTAACCATTCTGTAAGAACAGGTAAAATGATTGCATTTTGAAGAAACTAATGTTGAAAATGTCTAAAATCTTTCCTCAGAATCATACGCCATATGAAGTAGCCACAACTAGGACCTAAAGCCTTCCAGGGCAGGGTTCTTTTGGTGTTCCTACCTGATGACCAGAGTTTCTGTATATGGTTAAGTCAATCTGCTGCTGTATAGAGCAGCAGGACAGTGGGAAAATAAGGACCAAAACCTAGCTTGTCCTCCACTGACTGAGAAACTTGTGCTCAGGTGGGAGCTTTTTCTTCTTAAGAAAGAGCCTCTTTTAATTTCCATAAGACAGTGCACAGGTCTCTGTAAACTACATTTTTCTAATTTGCACAAATTCATCTTATGCAGAAATAACAGACCAACTGTTCAATTAAGAAGAAGTTTCATTTTAGTGAAGACTAAGCAGGAATAGAAAGAATAAGTTCTGGTAGTGTATAGTGTAGTGGTTAAGAATCAGGCTGCAAAACTCAGGGTCAGCAGTTCGAAACTACCAGCTGTTCTGTAGGAGAAAGATGAGGCTTTCTGTTCCCGTAAAGATTTACAGCCTAGGAAACCCTGTACAGGGTCACTATGAGTCGGAACCGACTCCACGGCACATAACAACAACAACAAGCAGGAATAAGACACAGTTTGGACACCTAAACTCAAACCTAACCCAAAGCTATCAAGTCAATATAAACTTACAGCAATTCCATAGCACAAAGTTGAACTGCTGCATTTGGTTTCTGAAGCTATAAATCTTGACAAAAAGCAGACCACATTATCTTTCTCCTTCAGAGTCACTGGTAGGTTAGAATGGCCAACTTTTCAGTTAATTAACAGTCCAAAAATTAGCCCACTGCACCATCAGGCTCTTAGTATTAGATAGGAAAACATTTAATATTTTCTAAAATCTGAATGATAGTACTGAAAACATAGTAGTATACCATGTTCACTTAGTTATTATAAAACTGTCTTTTGGTTACTTTTTGTTTATACTATTAGGGACATTTTTACAAATGACTATGTCAAAGTACTGTGTTCAAGGTGTGCTGTTGTTTTTAAGTACCAATGAGTTGGTTCCAACTCATAGCAACACTGTATAGGTTTTCCAAGGAACAGTTGGTGGGTTTGAACTGCTGGCCTTGTGGTTCACAGTCCAGCGCTGATCCTACAGCACCACACCAGAAGTCCAAAGTGTAAATGTACTCATTTAACCATTGAATATCTCTGATCCTTAACTTATCTCTGCCCTAACTTCACCAATGACTATTGTGAGCCACACCAAAATGAAGCCTGCCTTATCAAAGGGTAAAAGGTCTACTTTTTCATATTACAAAGTAACATATGTAACCAAAGTTTTTCATAAATTGACCTGACTTCATCACTGGTTCCCTTCCTAAGGGGTGAGGTGTTGAAAGTGGAATATGGCTCAGGACTGGAATGAAAATACATTTTTGCATGTTACGTAATTATATAATTTTTAAAGATTTAATTTTAAAATTCTGATACAAATATACCCAAATAAAATTTACCATAATGAAAACGCTGGCATCCTAATCAGAGATAAACAGAATCCAACATTTCTACCATCTCAGTGTTTGTGCACCAATAATGTTGAATTGAAAATGTTCTTGAGATATTAAGATTGGGACTAGTATAAAGTAACAAGTTTTTGCTGAGGAAAACATATAAGTATGTGTTATATATTATGTTTCATATGCCACATTTAATACTCTGTATTCAATGAAAAGCTACAATCTCATTACTTCAATCCCTATAATATTGCCTTAAGCAAGAGAATCAGATAAAATATTCATATCCTTCCCCATGGATCTCTGCCAGAAACGGTTCAGGTTTTCTTACCTTTGGGCTCTTGTGATTCGTCATCACTATCCGAACTATCATTACTCACAATATGTTTTGCTGTAATATTTTCTGTGAAAAGAAAATAAAACAATTGAAACATTTCAGCTATTAAAACTCTCAATTAAATTTATTGTAAGGAAGTAATCTGATCATAAAAAACAGAGAGGTATCTAATAAATTCACTATTGTAAATCAGGATTCATTTAGTAATCTAGATTTATTAGAAATATTAGTGTTTTCAAATTTCTCACTGGAATACAATATTTCACAGGAGAGGAAAAATTAAATTAATTTAAAATTCATTCTTTAATAATTTTAAAGAGATAATCTTTCTGGTAGCACAGTGGTTATGAGTCAGGCTGCTAACCTCAAGGTCAGCAGTTCAAAACTACCAGCTGTTCTGCAGGAGAAAGATGAGGCTTTCTGCTCCTGTAAAGATTTACAGCCCTGAAAACCCT